GAAATCACATAAACATAGGTCATTGATTTGAACTAAATGCTTAAATTTGTAGCCAAGTTTTGTGGTTACAAAAAGCAAAAAAATTACCTAAGAGTGCACAGAATTAATGTTTATTCTACCTTTGTGTCATATTCCTGGATCCTTCACCAATCTTACAGGAGGAAAAAACAAACGCAAAACAAATGAAAAACTAAAATCAGAATCACTAATGTTATCAAGTAGGGAAACAAATAAATTAAAATCTAGCAGCTACCGGCAAGAGTACAACAAAGATACTGTTGTAAAAAGAAACAGAAAATTACTAGAAATCTGTATGCATCATGCTCTTTCAAACCAGCAAAATATGTTCCTGCATACAATGGAACATAAACAGAATTATTTTCTTGGAAGGCATAGAAATGCAAGTTGTTTTTTGAAAATTGTGGATGAGTAAAATGTTATGTGTAATGGTAATTCTACTACACTATTACAGAGTGGGCCAGGAACACATTTATGGATTCTGGGGATGATGTGTACTGTAATTTTTTGATTGGAATAGTGGACACTAGCCACAGATTTTTTTAAAAAGTATGAACACAGAAGTATAAGACAAAGGTGAATGAGGCTTCTTTTATATCTTAGCAACATTTAGATGGAAATCAAATTTAAGTGCAGTCTACTCTGCTTTTGAAGCGGCTTTGGTTCAGCTTCCAAATCTCGATTGCTCAACACAGTCTCCTATGAGAATACTCAGAAAGTATCTTTTTAAACAACAAACCTATTTTTAGTGGTGAAGCCACTTTTTTTTTTTTTTTGAGTTGGAGTCTCACTCTGTCGCCCAGACTGGAGTGCAGTGGCCGCTCCCGGCCACCGCAGCCTCGACCTGCTGGGCTCTGGCGATCCTTCCGCCTCAGCCTTCCAAGTAGCCGGAGAAGCCACTCTTAGTAGCTGTGTCTGCATGGGGCTGATAATCACAGTTTTTAAAAAATTTAGTTTATATGACTAAAGTTTGTTTGCTCTCAGTTTTTATACTTAACAAATATATACCCTTTATCTATGTTCAACCAGGACTTTTTCCGAGTTAAGTAAAATATTCTTTATTGGGGAGTAAAGTTCAACTTTGTTGATGACCAGTAGTAAATGTTACTTTGTTCTTTTTTTTTTTTTTTGAGTTGGAGTCTCACTCTGTCACCCAGACTGGAGTGCAGTGGCCGTTCCTGCCCACCGCAGCCCCAACCTGCTGGGCTCCGACAACCCTTCTGCCTCAGCCTTCCAAGTAGCTGGAACTACAGGCACGTGCTACCACGCCCGGCTAATTTTTGACTTATTGTAGAGATGAGGTCTCTCCAAGTTGCCCAGATGGGTCTCGAACCCACGGGCTCAGGCAATCCACTCACCTCAGCCTCCCAAAGGCACGGAATTACAGGCTGAGCCATTGAGCCCAGCTGGTAAATGTTACTTTGAATTAACATGTTTTCTGTTTTTTTCTTGTTACCAATTTGTTTTTCTTTGAAAGCAAAATCATTGTATGTATATTACTTGTAAACAGAATGTTTGATTTCTTCCTACATGTGTTAAGTATTATCTTAATTGCTAGATTATTTTATAGGCTACTGGTAATTATTCATTAAGAAGTAGCAAACAAGATAATCATAATTATATATTTTCATTTCCCCAAATTTATTTTAGAACTATTGTGGTTATGTCACTAATTTCCAAAAATGTTGCAGCCATCAAACCCTCTCCTTAAACCTTTACACGGAGTATCACATGTTAATCAGATCAAGTGGAGTTGTCTGTATGAAGCTGTGATAGGGATGTGAAGCCCCTCCTGAAGAGTTTTCCACTTTTCCAGCTTTCTTGTCTTTCCTTTCAAATAACCAGTAGCCCCTGAAGCTTTTCTGTGGAAATTCCAGGGCTACTTGAAGCATTGTTCAGTTATCATTGATGTATGTGCGAAACTCTCTGCAGAAATACTGATAGTAGACCCTTTGCGTGTGGAAAGTTGTAAGATATTTAGATCTCAGATTGACTGACACTTTGTTCTCTTATTGAGCAACAGAATGATAATACAATAAGTAGTTGCCCAGTGAGCAAATAAACTTGTATTAGATTTATTTAGACAGACATTGGATATCCTCCTTTAAGGCGGGTTTTCAGAGTGATTTCTTTGTCAAAGGGAGACTGTGTCTGCAATCTCTTCCAACACTGATGATTCTCAGGTCTTATATGTCTAGATTTATCCTACCTGGTAGATAACTTATACAATGATAGGGGTCTATTTTATCTTTCATTTCTTAGATTTATAGTATGCCACATATGATAGGCAGTATGCTAGGATGCAGGTGAACCAGTTAAACAAATAAGTTACAGCCAATCTTTAAGTAAATAGGAAATTACTGTAAGGTTTGATAAGTGCAGTAATACAAGTAAGCAGAGTGTTAATGAAGTTATATGAAGGACCAAGCTTTTTCTTTTTTTTTTTTTTTGAGTTGGAGTTTTACTCCGTTGCCCAGGCTGGAGTGCAGTGGAACATTCATGGGCCACCGTGGCCTATACCTGCTGGGCTTAGGAGATCCTTCCACCTCAGCCCTCCAAGTAGCTGAAACTACAGGCATGTGCCACCATGCCTGGCTAATTTTTTGGTTTTTTGTTGAGATGAGGTCTCACCAGGTTACCCAGGCTGGTCTCTAACCCGTGGACTCAGGCAATCCTCTCACCTCGACCTCCCAAAATGCTAGGATTATAGGTGCGAGTCACTTCACCCGGCAGACCAAGCTTTTTCTGACAATCCCCTGCTAACCAAGGCCTGAGCTGACTGTAAAGATGAGTAGACTTTAACCAGACACAAACAAGGAATGATCTTTCTAGATAGAGGGAGCAACATTTACCCAGGCTCTGAAAGAGGGTATGCCTTGTTTGGAGAACTGTAAGTAGTCTAGTGTAGGAGGTGAATGGGGACTGGTAAGAGAAGCCAAATGAAGAAGGCCTGTGTTTGCCATGCTAAGCAGTTTGGGCTTTGTCTTGAGGATGATGTGAAGCAATTAAAGATTGGAATGGAGTGCTATTAGAGGCAGAGAAACCAAGTAATGAACTTTTACAATAACTTAAAGAAAAATGTGTTGGGATAGTATGGTATGGTGGTGGAGGAAAATGAATTTAAGAGCTACCAAGGAGGTAAAACCACCAGCAGAGTCATAGGCCAGTGAAAGACAGAATGCAGGGATGATTTCAGGTATCTGACTTGGCCAAGTGGGTAGGTGGTAGTTGTCTTTACTAAGACACAGTAATTAAGAAAGGAATCATGTAGGTTTTTTGCTTTGGGATAACTTAGAGAGTGCCAAGGTCCTTTTTATTTTCTTATATTTGTATTTGTGTATATTTTTAAAATATGATATGAAAGAGTATAGCAGGATGTATTTTCAAGGAAGATTATGGAATTCTTTTTGGAAGTCTGGTAGATGAAAGTAGACTCTCATTTAGGTAATTTAGGAATGAGTGATCTGCTTAAATCCAATTTTAGAAAATCCAAAGTTTTGTTTTGTTTTGAGTTGGCGTCTCACTTCATCACCGCAGCCTTCCAAGTAGCCAGAACTACAGGTGTGCGCTACCACGCCCGGCTAATTTTTTAAATTTTATTATAGCGATGATGTCTCGCCAAGCTGCCGGTCTTGTCTCAAACCCATGGGCTCAGGCAGTCCACTCGCCTCAGCCTCCCAAAGTGCTGGGATTACAGACTGAGCCATGGAGCCCTGCCAATCCAGAGATTTTTTTTAACATTGTTGCTTACTTCTCTGTAGAATCTTTACTTTTTGAGATTTGTAGTAAGATTGGCTTGTCTGTGTAAATGAGCTAACTTGGTAATAGTTCTGCTGTAGCATTATGCATTTTAAGATACAAAATGATTTTCCTCAGAATGCAAACTTTGATTTTCAAATCTTTAATTGGTACCATGTGGGAATTATATTCAATCCATTGCAATTTAACATTCCTGACAGATTGGACAGTTCCTTTTTATAGATTTGTCACATCATTTTCTCAAGTTAAGATCACTTTTAGGCTGGTTGAGGTACTTACATTCTTCAGGGAGAGAATGAGCTATGATTCTTAACAGAATACTGGAGGTATTAGTTTCAGATTTTGAGATTTTACTCTGTAAAATAATAAGAGGGCGCTTAGGTTTATTTGTTGTTATTGAATGTTCTATTTCTTATAAGTTAGGTCTTCTATTTCTGTAGTTTTGTGATTTCTACTGTACCTTTGACAGCATTAAAGGGGTAACAAAACAACAGACTATAGTTTAACACTTTTTAATTTACAGAGTTAATGGGGAAACTTGAACCTTTATCATTGTTTTTGTTACATTGCTGTAATGATTACAGATATGAAAGTACATTCTGATGTCATGCAGCTTGCAAAAATTTTTTCTCTGGATTTAGTCATAGTAAAACTTTTTTCTTGAACTATGTTTAAGGAAAGCTTTATTTTATTCTTCTTTGTAAAACAACTCTTATAAAAAGGTAATTGTAGTTTCTGCTTTGCTTAGAGTCTTTTATTAGTGAACCAAAAAGATCCCCAAATTTTAGTGTTTCAGAATGATTTTCTTCTAATAAGTATGAAAGTTTTTAGAAATTGTCAGCAGTCTATAATTTGATTTACATACACAAATTTTCGTTTTTAGGAATTGGGATAGATTTGAAAGTAGTCTGGTAGGGAGAATTTCTCATTGGCTTATTATAATTAAAATACTTGAAAGTTCTTAGAATAATGTTTCTTCATGTTCTGCTAGAAGTTATTGTGGTTCTTACAAGGACTAGTTATTGTAGTTGTTTTTTCAAAAAGTAAAATAATTTGTTTGTTTGGACTTAGTGTTCTAAGAGAAAGTATTCTAATCGCTTATTTTCCCTTGAGCCAACACCTTTAATTTGGAACACTAGATTTTTATTAGTATGGCAAACCAAAGTTTATATATGTGAGAAGGTAATTCTTTCTTTCTCATATTTTTCTTCTTCTATCTGCAGGTTGTAAAAATTAAAATGAACAAACTACGGCAAAGTTTTAGGAGAAAGAAAGATGTTTATGTTCCAGAGGCCAGTCGTCCACATCAGTGGCAAACAGATGAAGAAGGTGTTCGCACTGGAAAATGTAGCTTCCCAGTTAAGGTGGGAGCTGATGTTTCTGTAAACTTACATGTGGAAAAGAACTGATAGTCTATTGTATGTGACTATGACATTAATTAGGACAATTGAAAGAGAACTCTCCAAAATCCCTTCATTTTCTGCTTCAGTGTTAGAATTAAATGAGAAGGGCCAGATGTGGTGGCTCATGCCTGTAATCTCAGCACTTTGGGAGGTGGAGGCAAGAGGATTGCTTGAGCGCAGGAGTTAGAGATCAGCTTGGGCAACTTGGTGAGACCTCATCTCTACAGTAAATCAAAAAATTAGCCAGATGTGGTAGCATGTACCCATGGTTTCATCTACTTGGAAGGCTGAGCCCAGTAGATTGAGGCAGCGGTAGCCGTGATTGTGCCACTGCACTCCAGGCTGGGTAACAGAGTGAGACTTTGACTCAAAAAAATAAATAAAAATAAAAAAGAGAAGGAAAATAGATTATATTTAGTGATTTTTCTTGTTATATTTAAATGAGAATTTCTGGTATGTAATCTGGAATTAATGCAAATAAGATCGCTTCTGATGAGAATACTAATTCTAAAATATCTAAAGATCCTGAATTATCAGGAATCATATTTTCAATGGATGTTGTTACTGAGTGGTAGGGAAGAGAGAGTAGGGGTCTGCTTTCTTTCTTGTCTTTATTTTTCTCCTTTTTCTTGAGTTAGAGTCTCATTCTTGCTCAAGCTGGGGTGCAGCGGCACGATCATAGCTCACTGCTGTCACCAGATCCTGGGCTCAAGTGATCATTCTGCATCAGCCTCCTGAATAGCAGGGACCCTAAATTTTTTTGTAGAGATGAGGTCTCACTCTGTTGTCCAGGCTGGTGGAATTTTTTTTTTTTTTTGAGACAGGCTAGAGTACAGTGGCATAATCATAGCTCATTGTAGTCTTGAACTCCTGGCCTCAAGCGATCATCCTGCCTTATCTTCCCAAAGTGCTGGCATTGTAAGTGTGAGTCACTGTGTCCAGCCTAGGAATTCTGCTTTCTTTTTTTTTGAGTCGGAGTCTCACTCTGTTGCCCAGGCTGGAGTGCAGTGGCATGCTCACAGCCACCACAGCCTCTACCTGCTGGACTCAGGCTATCCTTCCACCTTAGCCTTCCAAGTAACCACCACGCCTGACTAATTTTTCTTGATTTATTGTAAAGAGGAGGTCTTGCCAAATTGTCCAGGCTGGTCTTAAACCCATGGGCTGAGGCAGTCCTCTCGCCTTGGCCTCCCAAAGTGCTGGGATTATAGTTGTGAACCACCGCGCCTGGCCAGGAAGTCTGCTTTCTTAAATGCAGGTCTGGTGTGTTCTAGAAAACCTTAAATCAGAAGAGTTAAATTAGGGAATTTTCTCTTTACCCTTATAACTTTTAATCATACAGAGGTCATTTAAACTGATGCTTTCATTTGTCAGATCAGAAAATGGAAGCTCACAAAGGTTAAGCACACAATGAAGATCTAGAGAAGGGGGTGCTATGCAGGTGTTTTTTCTTACTACTGCCCGCAACTCTGCATGAGGGCCATTTTTAAGGACATGGAAGAAATGTACATGCTATATACTGTTTAGTGAAAAGAAGCAATATATGATTATATAAGCATAGTGTGAGATGTATTAAACATAGGAACACAAAATAGAAGAAATTCTCAACCAAATTGTTAATATCTTGAAAAAATTTTAGTTTGATATTAAATGTTGAATTTTTTTCTCTATTAACTATATATA